TTGAGCCAAAAATTGGAATGGAATGGAAGGAATGAAAAAATATTTTGTAGTAAATTTCATTATTTATAACATATTAAGGAATAAATTATGGGATTATGGGAATAACTGATTTGCATCCCACAATAATTTAATGTTTACAAAATCAAATTTGAAGCATTAAATATTTTACATTTAAATAAAAAAAACTAATTATAATAGTTATAAATGCCATAAATAAGGGTAAATTTGATATTTGAGAAAAATTTTAAATCCAGAAATCTAAAACTGTAAAATTTATAAACATTAGACGTCTGTGAAAATAAGTTTCCAAAATGGCTTGTCCAAGACATTATCTCTTAAAAACTTGACAACCCATTAATTTTAATAAAAAGTCTCTATTTTTGCATTTATCTCTCATAGTTGTCAAATATTTACTGATAGTGAAGACAAGATTGTTCCTTATCATCAAGGGGCGAAATATTTTCCATAATAAAATTCATTCTCTGCATTATACTTGTGTTATTGGAAAAGATCATATATTTATATTTATGTATGGGATGCATATACTACTATACTAGCATAATCTATATAATATAATTTATATCTTGATCGTAAAACAGAATAAGCTATAGAAACTATTTATGTAATTTATGCATAGAATTGTATAAAAGAGAATGAATTACATAGAGTTGACGTATAATTTATAGTTGGATAGTAAAAAATGTTTCAGAAATTTGAATGTGTGCAACGGGTTTAATTATGATTTCTAATGCATAKTAAGTTGTAAAATGTGAATTCTATAATAAACTTAAGTTCAAGTAACACTAGATTCTGGACAAGAATTAGTAAGTGCTTAGTATAAGCAAACTCATGCACTAAACACAAATTTGACTTGTTAACTTAGATCACACAAATTAAAATAGCAGTGAAAGGAAAACCTATAACAAAAAAGAGCAGTGTGATTTATAGCTTTCTTTTTAGCAGAAATTGTATGCCGCAAGTGTACATGTTAAGCTCACTCAAATACTACGAATAGAATTACTCAATTTTATTTAGTGAATCAAATTTGAATGAGAGAACAGAATCAAAACAAATAAACATGCAATAATAAAGAGAAATCAATGGAAAGAAAATCTCATATAAAATTTATTTCACCCACCAAATTTAAGAACTAATTACTTAATTATTTAACTAATAATCTTACCGGCCAAGAATTCTCAAATGTCAACTGCCTCCGACAAGTTAATTCTCCTTATTAGTTAAAAACTAATATTCTTAACTAGTTTTAATAACAAGTAAGRACTTGAATGAATAAGTCTTTTAACGGACCTCTAAAGAACTTCAAAATCTCCCGATCATCTCATTTAGTTATGCATCCAAATTCTGACTTTAAACCACCTCTTCCAAGTGTAAGATTTTAAGTTCAGCAGCACGCACGCACTCATTGACTTAGTTATTTGGTTTCATAGCTGCTAACAACAGTTTTTTTTGTCCTTGTCTTCTTCTGCTTCATCTTCATATGGAATCATGCCTTTTAACTTCAATAGTTTTGCTTTCAAACAATAACAATCTTGTTTCGTTTCGTCTGGAYTGTTCCAATTTTGTTTTATGAGRGTGTCACGTTTATTCGATATCTGAAATCTCATAACCTTGTCTACCTCTCAATTTTGGTGTTCTTGGTACTACTGTAAATCCGGCCTATTCCCTTTGGATTACTCAGGATTTTGCACTAATCACCTTGATTAATGCTACACTTTCGTCTTAGGCACTTTTGTGTGTTGTTGGCAGCTGCTACTCAATCTTCAATTACGTGCTCTCCAATTCTGGAATTGCAATATGATTTCTACACTCTAAAGAAGAAAGGTAACGAACAAATGTATGACTATTTGCAACACATCAAAAATATAGTTTCTATGCAAATTGAGGAAGAAAATATATTGATTGGGTTTTTGGGCCCCATAATAACCCTTTTAAATGGCCCACTTTGATATATGTATCCACCCGAAAACTTATATTTTCTGATGACATCATCAAATAAACCAAATAACCATCAATACTCCTCTTTGACTTAAATTTTTAGTTCCCCATCTTTTTTTCAATTGAATTTGAGATATTCTCTCCTTCTCTTTCTTCTCTCTCCATTGATTAAAATTAACATATCTTTATTATTTGCTAATATTTTGAAATTAAATTTGATCAAATTATTACAAAATTTATTTATTTAATTCAATTCTGATTGATTTAATATTATTTATGATTTCATTTAAATTAAACAAATTTTTTATTTTTTATTAAAATATATTTTATTTTAAAAAWTTTTGAAACAATTTACTTTATAAATTTGTTTAATGATTGAATTTATAAAAACGAAAGCCTAATATTTTAGAATCGAGATTCCATAATTTCCGCCTCAATTGAAATTAATAATAGACTTTAAAAAATACGGATTCTTTTCTCTCTCTCTCTTTCACGCTCTCTTTCTTTTTCACGCTCTCAGCTCTCTCTCTTCACGTTTTCTCTCTTTTTCTCGTTTATTTCTCTCTTCTCGTTTTATTTCGCTCTCGTTCTCTTTCACGCTCTCTCTTCCTCGCTTCACTCTCTCTCTTCTTGTTTTCTTTTTGTTCTCTCTTTCTCTCTCTCTCTCCTCTCTCTTTTCTCTCCTTTTCTTTCTCTCTCTTCTTTCTCCTTCTAATAAAGAGAAATGGTGGGAGAGGAAAATCTCTGATGTCATCAAATTTGAAGAGATCAGATTCGTCCAAAAACTAAAAAAAGGTGACCCTACAKATCCTAAAAACCTCTTTCTCTCTTGGGAAATTGGGGTTTTTGACCCCACCAATAGTTTAAATTGGATAAATGAACCCCTTTTAAAAAAATCTAATTTTTGACCTCACCTCTACTTAATTTTGAACCCACCTTTAGTGAAAAGACGAATATACCCTTATTTATSATGCATTAACTTCCCCATTAACTTCCACCCAACTATTTCACCAAACTTTTAACCTCATATTTTACTTATGTTTTGAGTTTGAAACAATCCAAAATTTTCACACCATCCAAACTCCTCACAGATCACGTTTTTTTAAATCCGGRAAAGAAAAATTGCCACGTGTTTGATCATCCCCACACTATCTAAAATCGTTGTCCCACATTTTCACATTTGAAGAGTTAGAGGTACGTTAACATCAAAATTTCTGAAATGATTTGAAATATTTTCCATTCATACATTTTCACTTGGCTTCTTGGAAAAAGAAAAAAAAATGCAGTCGGTATCCCGGACCAAGTATTGTTCCAAGATTGAAGCTTCGAGATCCGGGATTGAATKTTCAATCCCGGACAAATCTAGGTTCAATCCCGGATCGAAAGATGGKTCGGGAGTGAACCGGGATACATCCCGGACCAATCTCGAAGCACTGTGGTCCGGGATATGTCTCGGACCAAGAYTGGTCCGGGACGGTCCAGGATGACATGTATTTTGTTATTTTTTTACCACTTTTTTTTGGACGATATTCTTATCTTACTTGATTTTATCTATTTGCAGGATGCCTCGTGTTTTCATAACATTTGGTGGAGAATGGAACAATAGTGAAAAAGATTATATTGGTGGTCGCACGAGATGATTGACAGTGGATAGTACAACCACGTACAGATAATTTCTAGGTCGTGTATAGATTGAGTAATATAAACCCCCTTCAGTTCGATATTAKAATTAGACACGTATATCATTTTAAAACTAAAGTTTGTGTAATGGAGATAACTGATGACGATGACCTGAATTTTTTTTAACTGGTGAAGATGTTTCTGAATTGCCT